TCAACGCCTAAAATTATGTACTAAGGTCTTGGAGAACTTTTATCGAAAATCAAAACGGTGACGACTAAAGTTATACAAATGTCGAGAATAAGAGAATGTGATAGTGGAAGTCGCAATCAGTCTCTCCGTTACTTTTATACTTCCACTTTCATCCTCAATTGTGTTTTCAACATTTATACTTTGGGCCAAATAATTTTTCAAATATTCAAACTAGTCGTTTTCTGGAAGAAACAGAAACCTTCAAAGTTTTTCGTATTTTTTTCAGGTGAAAATTAGAGATTCTTGATAAAGTTGTAACGCTCTATCTGTAGAAACCTTGAAGTTGGAAAACGTTAATCAATATGACTTGATGTGATCTGTTTTTATCGAACAAAATCAACATAACATTATTCTGTTATACTTATAGCTGAAGAAAAATGGACATGAGGTGAAACAGTAGTTGTCAAATGTTCTATTTAGATCAATCTGCACATATTTCAAACTAGATACAGACGAGACCAACAGTTTTTGGTTCATTTCAGATCTTTGATGATTGATCGTCTTTGGAAATGGCTATTGCTTATTAGAAATGTGTCAATTGATATAGGTTTGTTTTTATTAATATAATAAAAACTAAACAAATGTGAGTTCCACATTTCAGCTACAAACGAGCTGTGCTAAACAGTTTTTTCTATCAATTCAAAATTCAATTCGTAGTACTGTTGCACATTTCGCTTTGCTTTTCGTTGTTCAATAATAAGGTATTTGATACTTGAATGCTTGAAAATCAGGCTCATAATAATCGATTAGTACACGAAAATCACTTTTATTGTTGAGTGTCTCACAAAACAGTTACACAATTTGTTCATCACTAAAATCCGTTCTTTTGTATTGTGATTCGTCAAGATGCCATGATGGAAATTCTAAGTCTTGGTCGCTCACACCTTTAAGTTTTTTCAATAATATTGGTCCATTGTTCTTGAGATTATCTACGTTACTCATCCAGTCAAAATAGATATGACAGAGACCGTATCGTGTAACAATTTGATCTCAATGACAATTCATTGATCGTTGTCGTCGAATGGAATCAACAAGAAAACGAAGAAATGTTCGAAAATCTAGCCGTACATTGCGTCGTCTCAACCATAAAATTGTTTCATTTGGATACATTTGTAGTAAAATTCCTTCTTCTGAAGGTTTCCAATCAAAAAATGCATCATTTAAATGATCATGTGCGAACTTATCATTGAAAGCTGAATAAATACGTCAGAACAGATGACGGACGAGTAAAAGTTTAAACATATTCAATGTTCGATTGGTAATGATCGATCGAAATTCCGTTTTGTTGTGTAAATAGAACTTTTTAAAATCCCGTTCGAGTATTCTCCATACTTGATCTCGATTAGAAGTCGATTGTGAACGCGACTTATTCAAATGTGAAATGAGATCAGTGTGAAGAACACGTCGAAGATTGCTCGAAGATGTCTTGGGTACATAACAAAAGAAACCATTCATCGATGGAATATAGAGTAAATTGTAGAAGTAACAGACGGTTTACATGTAGCACAAAACTTGTCAGGTCGTACTACACTTTGTGTTACTTGTCGCGAGATTAAATAAAGACTTAAATAGATAATAATAAGTAGAAAAAGGACTCTAATCAGATGAATCGTTCGATAGGTAGTAACCAAAAGTGTAAAGTACTACTGTTAGTGTATTCCATCTTTGTAAAAGTGAACAAAGTAGGTTACTGTTGTTTATTTAAATGTTCATTTAAGAATGTACTTTTGAAAAAAAAGGAACAAAAGCATACTTACCATACCATGATATGTTCGTATGTGCGCAGTGTTTTTTTTTTGTTTTCTCTCAAAATAGTGTAACGAAATCGTAGAATCATCACCTCCGATTATAAATAAAAAACAAGAACATTCTGTACATTTGAATGAATAATAAACGTCATTGTTGTTTTTGCTATTGCGAGTATTGTGCATGCCGAACGAACCGGATCGGTAAACCAACCAATCTAGTGTTGATTTTTAAAATATTTTCTTGGAAAAAAATGATCACAATGATGTTTATTTTTGAAAATCAAACAATTTTTACAATTATTGAAGACCATTCTGATTAAAAGCAATTTCATCAAACTATGCTATTAAGCCAAAATTTGTCATCGAATCTTTTTATATTTGTCAAGTTCATGTACTTGTAAAGTTGTTTTGGTCAAACAGAATCGAATAATTGTTTAACATTCTAGGTTATCATATATTTATTTGTATTTTCATGGCAACATCAATCCTTTGAAAGCACAATTGAATTGATGACATAAAACAGCTAATATAGTTGCAATAAATACAGGATAATTGATTCTAACTGACAACTTTGTTTAATTGTTTGATTTAGAATGGATTTTATTCATAGTCCAGAGACGTCTTACTTCATCTTACTGAGCACACTTTGAACGTGTTTTCTTCTCTCAACAGCAATCTTAAAGATGAGCTATTTAGTTTAATTTTCAAAAGAAGTATCATTGTATTCATTGAAAACAATAAAGTAAAACAAATCGATCATCATTTTTGTTTGGTCTGTATGTATGCCAAATCAATGACTTATCGAAACTTATAACATTGAAAATTCAAAATCACTCTTAGATGTATTTCAGAACGTTGTTCTTGCTAAAGATACAGGATATTCACAAAAATTCATAAAATCAACTAAAAGTATGGTGAAACTATTTCGAGAATAATAAGTTCTACAAACGATAAAAATTTTTGTCTGATAATCTTGTTTAAAACATTTTAACCGTTGAGTTACTATTGTGTAAGATACATAATCCTCACCTTCAAATAAGAGTCAATACAAAATGAAAACATGACAGGTAATGTTGAATGTAGCGGCGGCGCCAGGAACTTAGACTTGGGTGGGCTCAGACTCTCTGATTTTTTTCTCAGGGTGGGCTCCACCTACTCAGTTTTAAAAGAGTAAAAAATGTAATGAGACCTTTATCGAAGTTTTTGACTTATTAGAAATGGTTCTTGTACCATAATAAATGTATCCTTTCTTACCAACTTATAGAGAGCTTGAATATTTATTTTAAAAATATGCGATAAGATAATTTAATACAATAATACTGCTATTCTTATGATTTCGTGCAAATTTATCTATTATCCGTTCATAATCTATAGAAATATCACGTTCAACAGGCAAGACAGTCAAATCACTTAAGGGGTTCCCCCTCAGAAACGAACTTTGCTATTTTTCATGCGACTTCAACCAAAATTTCACAGAATGCTAGTCTCGACTATAATAGCTTATGGTTAAAATATCTTCCCTTAATCTCAAAGAAATGCACAAGTTCTAGTCAATTCATTATCCTTTACGCGGGCAAGGATTTCGTAATAAGGATACGAACTAACAAGTCCGGGTAGTTTTCAGGTTGTAGAGTGCCCTTAGGGCTAGGTCGTACTAGAGCCCGATTTTTGAGTTTCCCTTTGTTTGATTTTCAAAAAGCCTTTTTCGCAAAATTCATGAAATCGTGTACAACAACATTGCTAACAAAAATGAAATATCTAAGTTTTTTATTTCACCAAAAGAGAAATTCAGAAATTGGACTCTATTACGACCTAGCCTTTACTGTCCTCTATTCAACAAAAAAAATTATCCCCTATCTATTGAGTCGTTATTGAAAAATCCTTGCCCGCATAAGTGGCATGCTCTAAAAAATTGATTTTGAGAAAAATGAAGAATAAGTATTAGAAATCGGTTTTTCTGAAAATCATCTGATTTATATATCAATGTCTAAAGACAGGTGATAAATTTGTGATTATAATATTAAATATTCATAGTCTCTTAGTGATTAGTATAGAAAAACGCTTTAGGGAATGCTGATGTAAAGAGAAACCAGCCCAAAAAGGCTAAAAAGCTTGGAAAAATTCTATGAAAATTTTTCGTAAAATATGACAGTAGGAGCCCAGTTTTAGATAACAAGTTCGTCTAAATCAATTCATTTTTCGATAAACCATAGATATTCTGAAAGAGGAGACTTCGATGCATCTTCCTATGATAAAAGTTCAATGTCGACTAGTCTTCGAAAAATTGAATTTTCTGAGAGGGGCCCCCTTAAGCGTTTATCAGACATTGAATTCCGAAGATAGTTCTTGATTATTTTCATCTCCGAGGATGACCTTTCGCAAGTGACTTGTGAAATAGGCATTGTAATTGCACTTTGGATCATTCGTAATGTTTGTGGAAATGCAGCTGAGAATAGAATTAATTCGTTCAAAAACTGAATAACATTATTCATTGTTTTGGACATGAACACAGGTTTTGTAAGGGTGTGGGTGTGGGGTGTGAATGGGTGTCGGTGTGGGTGTGAGTACACTGTATCTCTTTATCTAAACCCACACCCACACCCTGTGTAGCTAATATCCGATATACCTTGAATGTCGGGAGATGAAGAAGAAAGATTTTGTAAATGAGATGATGAATTAATAATATCGAGTTCTATTTCTTGTTGGTTGGGGTACTTTTTCTAAACGAACGAAAGAAAAATTCGATCGTTTTATGTTGTTCAGGCTGCATGGTATTACTAGAGAATGTTTTACGCTGAATCTTTTTTCACTTCGTTTTCAATAATTAGCCAATAAAAAAATAGGAAAAAGCCTTCTTAATAATGATATGTTGTAACATCTCTCGAATAAAAGATTATTAGGTTTGTGCGTTAAAAGCGCTTCTTAGTGTTCTCAAAAAAATTTTGGGTGGGCTCAAAAATTTTTTGGGTGGGCTCAAAAATTTTTTGGGTGGGCTCAGCCCACCCCCGCCCACCTATGGCGCCGCCACTAGTTGAATGACTAATGAGTAAGTACATTAGTCATATCATGAAACAACAAAGCGATACTCTTTACTCACATGTTGTTTTTTTCCTATGACATCATTTTTTCTTTGCCTATTTATGTAAGATCTTAAATGATACATACGTTTACGAATTCATTGGAAAACAAACAAGTCTTCTACAAACTTTTCATATGTCGCATCCAAAACTTTACGAAACTCGTGGTGCACATTATCATCATGAAAGTCAAACGACTAGTTTTTGTTTATATGCACCTAATGCAAGAAATGTTTGGCTTATATTAACTGCCTATGGTATACAACAATATCGATTACAAATGAACAAAAATCATGAGGGTTTATGGGATATTGTAACAGATAAAGCTCTACCTGGTCGAACTTATCTCTACTTAATTAATGATTATCATGGAAGATATATGTTACGAACAGATCCAGTAAGTTTTTCTATTGTCTCTAATTTGATAACTCGACGTGTGCAATCAGTTGTTCATGATGAAAGAGTTTATACATGGAGTGATCAAAATTGGATGAGACAACGTGCTCAAACTAATCCTTTGAAATCACCATTGTCTATCTATGAAATTCAACTAAAATCATGGAAAAGTAGTGTCTATTGGCCATTGAACTTTCGTCAAATAGCAAGTGAATTAGTGGCTTATTGTAATCAAATGGGTTTTACTCATGTAGAAATGTATGGTATATTAGAACACACCGACAGATGGGAATATGGCTATCAAGTAGCGAATTATTTTGCTCCTTCTCGTTTTAACGGTACATGTGATGATTTAAAGTATTTAATTGATCATCTACATCAAAGTGGTATTGGTGTTATTCTTGATTGGATTCCGACACATTTTAAACATTATCACTTTTTTCATCAATATTCTATCTCTTTACATGAATATGATGGTACAAATTTATATGCTGGTACTCCATCACAATGGGGAACACTATATTTTGATTTTGATAAAGAAGAAACACGTCGACTTCTATTTGCTAGTGCTCTTTACTATCTTGATCGATTTCACTTTGATGGAATTCGTTTTGATGCTGTTAGTCAAATGATTCGACGAAATCATACGGATATTCAAAGTGCTATTTCATTTTTACGTCAACTCAATCATACTATTCATACATATTACCCGGGTGTTCTATGTATTGCAGAAGAAACAGAAGGTTATCCTAATCTTAGTAGAACGATGAATTTTGATTTGAAATGGAATATTGGTTGGAGTAATGATGCACGAAATTTTCTTCGAACACCATATGTTGAACGATCACAACATTGGAAACAGAAAATATTAGATGTTTTAAATGGTGCACGATGGAGCGATGATAAAATGATTTGTACATTGAGTCATGATGATACAAATGATGGTCCATTTAGTAGTAAAAATATTCTGTTGAATTGTGTTTCACATGCTCGAAATGATATGGATAAATTTGCTGATCTAAGAAATTTATTTGCATGGCAAATATGTATGCCAAGTCGTGGTCATATGATACATATGGGCGATGAAGTTGTTCAACCAATGTCTTGGTTTCAACGATGTTTTCGAGGTAAGTCAAGTATGGATTGGTCATTATCGAATTCAACATCATTACATGGTAAAATTCAAGAATGTATTCGTGATCTCAATCATCTTTACATTCGTTATCCACAGTTTTGGGAATATGGAGAAGAAGGCTATTCATTAATCTATGAATATGGTGAAAATCTAGTGATTGCATATCATCGAGGTATTTTTGATAATCGTCGAGTTGCTGTTATCCATAACTTTTCGAATCGTGGTTACACATGCTATGATATTCCACTACCAGGATCGGATCCTAATGTTGGACGTATTCGAGATGTAGTAGAGATATTCAATACAGATGATCTAAAATATGGTGGATCAGGTACGTTTCAAAATCAATGGATTGAAATTAAACGTAACAATGGACAAGATATGGTATTCACAGTTGCTCTTCCTCCTCTGTCGACAATAATATTAGAAGAAAATTTAGTATAATTAATTAAAAAAGTCACTATATAGGTCTTGTATATATTTTTCATTTATATGAATAATTTTATGTAATATTCATCAAATAAAGATGATTATAACTCATAATAAGCGAAATAGAGCTCTAGCTAGTCTCAATGTGTACCTTTTTATCAGACGGGTGGGTGTGGGTGTTGGTCGTTGTGGGTATCGATCTGGATGTCTTTATTCTGTTTAATCACCCACATCCTGGCATTGTTGGCGATCGTTTATATGAATATCAATGATTGGCCTACTCAAAAATTACTTCTAATGCTGCTCGAGAACATGAAAATAATTAATTCAATGAACAATTAAACGCTAAGTACATGTACAACTTATTTTGTATTATTTTGCTGTGCTAAACCATTTATTTTTTTATTTTTATATGCTTGTGAAATATTTGAAAAGAATTTAACATAAGATAAAGTGAACGAAATTACTTGTTTGTTTTTGATAATCTATCCCTTGCTTTATTTTTTTCTAGATAATAATCACGTTGTCGATAATATCTGAAAAGAAAAATAATTTACAATTTATAATTTGTATTTACTCATGAAAATTTATCTAAAAAACTTTTCTACTCTTAATTTCTCCGATACTTCAGCTAATCTATGGCTTATCGGTTCTGAAATGAGCACGCTTCGATTTGAACGCCAGGTACAAAGAAAATTGTTTTAATTGGATAATTTACTATTTTCATAAATCTGGTTTTTGTTCAAATAAGTTAAGAATTTGGAAAAACATTATGAAAAAATGTCTTTCAATTATGAATAAACTGTTTTGAATATATTTATTTTTACTAAAAAATCAGTAGCTTTTGAATCATAAGTTAGAGAAAAAAATCAAATTTATGAAAATAAATCTCTATGTACTTAGTGTTCAAATTGAATCGTGTCCATTCTAGAATCAGCAAGTCATAGAGTAGCTGAAGTGTCTAAATGTCTATAGAAGGGTGTGGGTGTGTTTTTGTCTTTTGAAATGCCCACACCCCCACCTCCACCTCCATCCCCATCCACATACCACCCACACCCACACCCACACCCACACACCCTCGTTGCTGTATCAACAGTTGACATGAATGAAATAAAAGAGTGTTTCTCTTGGTGTATGCTTTTCTTTGTATTCTTTCCAGTATCTGAATGTATGCTGATATATCAAATTATCTATCGAGTCATATCGCTGCTTTGAATAAGAGCTTGTTGTATATATGAGATTTTGATTAGAGATCAGATATAATATGATTTATTTTCAGCTAGGGGTTCCACTGAGCTTCTACTTTCCTGAAGAACTCTATAGTAAACAGCATCATCGACGAATGCTCTAGAATGTATACTTTCTAATAGAATTTTCAAAGCGTATTCTGCGTTTTCGTATAGTTTTTCTGAACTTCTATTGTTACACGGTCTCTGAAAAATTGAATTTGATATCTTTTTCAGTCGAGGGCTAAGTGAGTCGAAGCGACGAGCGTTAATTGTTATTGCCGTCTGATGAAAATATTTATCAATGAAGTGAGTTATTTGTTGTCACTATGAAGTGGTATTTGGCTATTTATCAAATAAATGTACGGGATAAGAGTGAATACGCTATTGAAAGTGGTCCTGTTTGATACTTATAAGAAAGGTTCTTTCGCGTATTTAATCTATTATCTGCGGAAATATATACATGGATAGGCGTGGGTCTAAAACTAGGATCTGGCATGAATTTGTCATATGCTATTATTACTATTATGAAAAGTGATATCTGTAAGCTGGTAAGTTTTCAGGAATTCTGACATGTGCAATGTCTAGCTTCTGTTATTCGAAGAAAATAGTTTTGAAAAGATATATGTGAATGATGTTGTAGTTTTTGTATTACATGGACAATAAGAGCCTGTCGTTGAAGTGCAACTATGTAAAAGGTGGACTTAACCGTGGCTGGTGCCCCAAAGGGGCGCCAACGAACTACGAATCGTTCACAGTGCACGCATACTGCAGATTGACGTCAAAAAAGATCATTGTATCGGCCAGATATTTTGAAGAATAGTGCACTAAGATTTCCCTAATGAGAACCTCAAAGAAAACTCTGATTTGCCAGCTATACAACCAAATTACAGAAATGAGAAATAATTCATGAGAAAACTTCTGTGTGAAAATTCCTGTCGATAATTCTAATGCTTTAGATCTAACGAAGTTTTGAAATAGTTAATCCTGGGCCAAGTGGAATTAAAATACAGAGGGATAGTGTTATGAAAAGATGGGGTTGGACATGGAAGCAGCTAGCTACGAGTAACGCTCCAGAGAAGCGCAGACGAGCGAGTAGCTGCTGCACTCGGTTATCTCCAGAAGTGCCGCTTCGAAGTGTTGGGAATTATTGAATACACGCCAACAGTCGAGATCTAATGCGTCTGAATAAGGTATATCAGACGCAAAAAGCTGAAAAAACTATGTCAAGTCCATACTATGGGCTATTTAATTTCAGTCTGAATTTATCAAATAAAAATAATACTTGATTTCAAACTGAAACGTGAGTCTAGGAGTGAGGGGGGGGAGTGACTGAGGGTGTGGGTGTTGGTCTCGGACCCACACACACACCCACACCCATGGTGCGGGTGTGGGCGCGCGAGTGAGGGTGAGGGTGTGCTTGTGGCTTTGTGTACTATAGGCTTTAGTCCCCTGCACAAGGGACTAAGCGGGGACTAAGCTTTTTGTGGGGGGGACTAAGGGGGACTTTGCAGGACTAGGGGGGACTAAGGGTTTTTAGTGGGACTACGTAGTATCAAACGAGAAAAGTTTGATTCGGAAGAAGTTGGTGCGGTTTTTTTGATTTTAGAATTCAGTTTGAAATAAAAAAGCCCATAGACTCGTCAAGTCAAGGATGAGAAACGGTTTTTATGTTTGCACACAATAACTGAATAGTTCGTCAGAAGAAAAAGATTACTCGAAGAATTTATATTTGCTGCATCGGTAGTGGACATGAATGAAATAGTGTTTCTTTTGGTATATACTTTTTGTATTCATTCAAGTATCTAAATGTATATTGATATATTCCCTCGGCTGTAGGGAGGGTCATATGAAAAAAAATGGGTTGTATGTATATGTGTATGTGTGTATGTTTGTGTCAGGGTCAAAAAAACATCCGCTTAAAGAAGTGTTCGATTTGAGTCTTTCGATCATGGTGTGGATGTGGGGTGAGTGAGGGTGAGGGTGTGGTTTGGGTCTCGGTGTGTGAATCTTATTAACAACATCCATTCACACCCGCATGCATACCCATACACACCCACATCCACAGCCACTACCGCATCCGCCCCACCTACACCCTTACCCGAAATATCGAATCATGAGGAAGTACAAAATAAACTTATGTAAAGCTGTGAGAGTTCAATGCTGATTCTAGAGTTAATAGAATTAGGGTCAATATTTCATTGGAATGTCAAGAGAGTAACTTGATACACCTCCTTTCAATTGATTTTAATCAGTAAGATTTTTATTGAATAGAGATTCTGTCTAAGATAGTATAGGGGCTACATTTCACCAGGGTCTATACCATCGACATAGTTTTTAGTGAAAGTGATTCTTTGACACATTATATGCAAAGAATAGCTTATGTCATATCAGGTTTTTTCACATTAGGTTGTGTTACAACAGTTTGTACTACACCGCGTTGTGCCACACCAGGTTGTACGATAATAGGTTGTATCGGAACAATGTCCACTTTATTCACATCAGAATTTTTGCATAAGCCGTGTTTCTTACACATACAAAATATAAATATAGCATAAATAAATATGCAAAGAGTCATAAGATAGGTGAGAGCGAAACCATAATTGACAATAAAACCAAGACATTCTATTGACGCGTCAGGAAAATTGAACGCTGATCTAAACCCCTGTCAAACATAAGAGCGCATTGAGAAATTCTTTTATAAATACTTAATGTCCACTATTATTTCTTACCAGTCCCGCTGCCCATGATAGTGTAAGAAAAGCAATAACTGTTGTGATAAAGATTGCTATATGAAATTCTTTATCATTTGATTTGTATTTACATGTTATGGACATACAGATCTAAATAGAAAATTAGACCAGTCAAATACAGTAGAGAGAACAGTTACCTAACTTACTAATACGATGAGCGCAATAAAGAGAAAAAAACTCATCCCACCAGTAACAAGTAACCAAACCGGAATTGACGGTTGTTTGGGTGAATTGCATTTTCGAGCTTCTCCAATGGCACCAATAATCATTGAACTTAAACCAATAGCAGCAAAGAGAATAAGAACAAAAATAACGGTTAACTTCCGTAGAAAGAGTGAGATATGAGATTTGACTGGTGCAACATTGGCTCTTGGTTTCTGTTGATTGTGGAAGGGCGCAGTGTCTCGTTCTTTGAGCAGATTGATCAGACCTCGCACAGGTAGTATTACAGTCTGAAAAGTAGATACACTAAAAAACCTTCTATCCGAATTCCAACCTCCGATGCTTCATAATAATAACGAAGGTTCCTTTTAGCTTTTGAAAAATATTCTGCAACATAAAATACATTTCCGAATTATTACGAAAACGCAAAGGTTTTATTTTTTGTACATGATTTTGTACTTCACTTATCTTTTTACAGCATAGATTGCTTGCGATGAGTGCTTCAATTGGAAGCTTCTCTCATATTTAAACAATAAATATTTAATCCATAATACCACAAAATCCCTATTTCCGATATTCAAAAGAATCAATCAAGTAAAGTTTATCTTTATTCTGACCATTTCTTATTACAGAATAAAAGTTCGTAATTTATTACGTAAGCTGTATATATTTCTTCAGAAGTCTTTTAAATTATGAACGATATTTAGCTTGCCACTATAGTATTCTTGGTTTTGTGTAAGATGATCGAAACATCATTACCATAATTAATTTATTTTAAATATGACAATATGGAAATATTTATCTCTTGTGTTCTTTTTTCCTTCGTTCCTTGTTGAAATCGACGAAAGAATGGAAGCAACCGAATAACCAAGAT